TACCCTTAATGTATTTAAAGAAATCCTTACTGTTAATTTTTACATTTTCAGCCAACCTTTTATCGTACATTCTTTGTGATGTCCTACTTTCCTGCTTCACCAACTTTCTTGATCTCCTGTCATACCATTTAATTTAAATTTCTTAAATTTGAGGTTTTCTTTAATTTTATCTCTCAAACTCTTTGTGAGCTAACCTGGTTTTTTACATGCAGTTACCTTTTCTTTCTATAAGGAATATGTTTACCTTTGATATTAAGAAATTTTCCATATCTGACCAGTGTCCAAATAACTCAGCTGCTCAATTCACAACAGATAATTGTCACATCCCTTCAAAATTTGCTTTTTTGAAATATGTAACGAAAATATCATTATTCCTTATCTCCACGTGCAGCAAAACATCAAACCTAATAGAACAATGATCACTTGCACCCAAATGTTCCCCAATTTTCACCCTCTCAATCATTTCTGTATTTGAAGATAACAATAAGTCTAAAATAGCATTGTTTCTAGTTGGTTCCTTGAGTAACTGGTGAAGAAAGCTATCTTGAACAGTTTGTAAAAACCTTTCTCCCTCATGGTTCGACTCTAGAATTTCCTAATCTATATGCCTAAAAGTAAAATCAGCCATAATTATGATTTCATTAACAACTGAAATCTTAATCTCATTGTAAAGTTTCTCACAAATTTCATCAGTATCATTTGGTGGTCTGTAACAAATTTCCAGTATAAGCCTTTTCCCTTTATATCCACTAATACAAACCCAAATGGATTCAATATCTTTGCTATTATTTTTAATATACTCAATTTTAACAGGATGTAACACATTTTACATATAAAGCCACCACCCCACTCTTTAATACTCTATCCCTCTTAGCTTGTAACCCTGTATTTCTAAGAAATTTCTGTCATCAAAATCATCTACGTTTAACCATGTTTCAGTTATTTCCATTATATCAAAATTCTCCATTCGTACCAGTGCTCTAAAGTAATTTATATTATTATTTTTTTTATCCTTCTAGCATTACAATAGTAACAATTAAGCCTATCCTTATAACTACTTCTATACTCATTACCTATGCTAAACTTTTCTTTCTTTCCTAGCCCTCACCACTGTCTAGTCCTAGCTTAAAACTTCCCTTATAGCTGAGTTAATAAACCATCCATTCCAAAAAGCTCCCTTCTTCCACTGAACTGATTCCACAAGTCCAACCAACCAATCTGCTCATCCTTACATACTAACCTAAGACTAGCATTTAGCCCTTGTGACCTACTTATAACTTCATCCCCACAAATAATTCTGGGCAGCATCCCTGAGAAAATTAATTATGGTCTTTTTCTTAAAATGCCTTTACCAACCCCTTGTATTTATTAACTAGCTCATCTGACCTACCTTTCCTTACATCATAGGCCTCTGTATGCACCACAAAATCTGCATTTCTGCCAGCCCCTTTATTATATCTCCTACTCTGTCAGTTATATCCCCCACCTGTGCCCCTGGGTAGCATAATCTGATTCTTTTCACCCTATTTACCCCACAGACTATTCTATCCACATGCCTTGTCAAGGGGATCGCCAATAACCATAACCTCCTTATCATCCACATCCTTTCCTGACCCTTTTGTTTTCTTTCCCTCCAATAGTTCCTTGTCTGCAGAAGCCAAGGGCTGAAATTGTTACTCAACAGAATAGGCTCATTATAACTAAATTCACTACTTTTTGCCATAACAGTACTCTTTCCAGCTTCCTGAAAGTCATTGTTAGCTGATGTATCCCTTGTATGTAAAAGGTTAAGCTCCTCTTGAAATTTTGTTGTCATTTCCCATAGTTAACACTTCTCTTATCTATTGCCTCTAACTTCTCCTCCAACCTACAAACTCTACATAAAATTGCACATCTTCATTTCTACCTTCCTTAAAAGTACATTCTAGTCCCAAGTTCCCAAATAAAACCCACCAATTACACCTAACAAACTGTGAACACTTAACTGGTACACTAGTCTTAACCATTGAAATTATTCTTATAGCTTGAAAATAAATACTCACTACCAAATACTAGTAGCCTATTGTTAACACTGTTACTGTTAAGCCTAATGTTTAAGAACCAATTATATTTTATCACCACTTTGTCTTCACACTAAAGTAACAAAGTTTATCTTTAATTATATAGAACTTAATAATTTTTAGAACAATATACATAGCATTAATAATAAAATGTATTTAACCTGATTCATATTATAACCTACCCATATCTATAAGCTGAATTTAAACTATTGGATCTTGCACCACAGTAAGGTTTCAACTAAGACCTGTACAAAAACTAAAGAAAATGTTTGAAAATCAAGATTCTTTGGGATGGGCAGTGAAATTCTAAAAAAAATACAAACAACTTAGTAGCTGTGCAAAAATGGAATATTAATCTTCTTCATTGATTACACTAAGAAAGTGTCAGAATATGACGAAATATTGAAGTTAAAGTATTTGTAAATTGTTTAAGTATTTAGAATTAACATATAAAAATGGCCTTAAATATTTGTAGCATAAATAGGGAAAGCTAAAGTAAATCTTGTTCATCCTAAACTATCGTACATGAAAATGAATCACACATACAAAGGAGTACAAAACCTGTAACAACCTTAAAATAATGTAATTAATAGCATTCTGAGAGTTTCTCTCTACAAATTTCCACAAGATTACTGTACTAAAATATATATTTTATCTATTTTTCACAAATGAATCTGTACAGTTTTGGCAGATTGGAACTATCTCGTAACTACCATAAAAAATTAGGAAATAATTATAAATTACGCTTTTTTCATTCTAGAATGACTACATATTGGAACACAAAAACACAAATGTTAAGTCTAAATAGCTTAATCTCTTAACATTATACATTTATATATATTTATTATTTTTATTATATTGACCTTTCAGCTGTGCCTGGCTAATATTACAGATGTTGCATGATGCGGTGCATATACACTCAAGTTACCATATCCAAGAATATAAAACTGGCCTTTACAAAGTGACCTGTCTTGGCTATGTATTAGTGGACTAGTATTTTGTAAAATACAGTCACATTTCAGTTATAATACATTATACATGTGTATACATTATTACTATTTCCAGGAAGTTCAAAGGATGACGTTTTAACGTCGAAACATGTAGAATCGTCAACTTTTTGAAGGCCATAGATAGGCATAAATAAAATGTTTTTAATTGTGTATCAGTTTAACATTGAATATTATTTATGATTTTGGACTGACCAATGTCAGGTTGTGTAGTTAGAACTTTTAATATAGAAGAATTGCATACTGAATTTCTAGAGGAAAGTAAAAAAAATTAAATAAAAATAAACAAGTATTGTGAAAAACTTCCAAAAATATACTATCCAATTTTCATCAACATCATGATTTATAACTTCAAAAGAATCAAAATTTCTCATGTTTATTAACTATAAAATGATGAACAAAATCATAAAATTAAAATTGACAACTAGTAGGACTTCACACTGTTTAATAGTTGACTAATACAAAAAAAGCATTTTTTTTGTTTTACACAACATATTAAAAGAAAACAGAAGACTTACCAGCACATTTGTCACAAATTACATTTTTCTGTAATGCTAACTTTCTAACTGCTCCATTGTACAGCTCTTCCAGAGTTACTCCTAACTGATGAACAACATCTTTCCCACGACGTTCTCTCCTCCGTCCACCTCCACCACCCATTCCAAAGAACATGTCAAAAATATCCATAGGTGATGAAAACCCATGACCACTTCCACCTCCTTCTTTGATTGCATCTTCTCCCCCTTTGTCATAGATTTTTCTTTTTTCTGGGTTAGATAGCACTTCATAAGCTTGAGAGATCCTTTTAAACTGTGGAATAGTGATAATGAAACAGAAGAAAAACTATCCAAAAATTTACACTTTAAATTAGCCTAATAATTTATTGTTGCATTACCCAAATTTATGTGCAGGCCAGCATATGTGTTATCTAAACATTATGGTCACTTCTACGTTAGGCCTCACTTGTAATAGTGTGTACAATTTTAGTTTCCTTACTTAATAAAAAACAATGACTTAACAAAAAGTGTTTAAGGGAGTGATAGATTAACTTATTTTTTATTTGGAAAAAGACAGGTTAAGCTCTAGGGCAATATTATTTCTCTAACAGGGAGATTGGTCTCGTGTAACGAGTTGAGCTGCCAGTAGTGGGTGCTAGCAATTTACATGAGTTGTAGAGGGGATTCAATTTCCAGAAAAATAAAGGTGAGTTTAAATTAAATGTTTAGTTATCTAGAATGTGAGTACATAAGGACAGCATTGAAGGACAAAATGGTCCCTTGCAGTCTATGTTATATTTTCAAACCAGTATTACTGTCAATATCCTACCTTATCTCCTTCTGAAGGATTCTTGTCAGGATGATATTTCAAGGCTAACTTCCTATAAGCTTTTTTCAGCTCACTGTCAGAACAGTCTGGCTTAACTCCTAAAATTTCATAAAAGGCTGTTTCCTTCACCATTCTAAATTATCTATAATAGAAAAAGAATAACATGTATATATCTTTAATACATGAAAATATATGGATTAGTTTACTTCAAAAGTAATAAGTTGACATGAAGAGATTTTGCTCAGTACAGATGTACTCAAACTTTATATTATACAAACGATTCTGCCTGTACACAAATCTCTTTGGTTTTTCTCTCCGTTTTTATTGTGTAACTGACAGCAACTTGTATGGGCAGTCAGTGGAGTATTTGTGCAATCAACCACAAGTTAACCAGGAATGTGAACATATTGTCTGAATCAGATGGAGTGTGCAGCCTATATAGTTTTTATTTGTCCCGTCTATTGCCACTAATTGGAAAGTGTGTACACAATGTTCAGTTACCTATTCACTCACAGTATACAATTTTTAAAACCCTAAGACAACTTCTGAAACATACATATAAAGGTAAGAAACTTGAAATTTAGATGAACCTTAATAGTAGGTTTGTTCTGAAAGATTCAGCCTGTACAAATCCTTATTTAAGTAATGTACAAATATAGACTATTAACTTATAATACTAGGTGTTTCACTTTTATCACTAAACTGTATTTCAGGCCTTAATGTTTGACAGGCAATATCACAATTATGTAAAATAGGTTTTGCAAGGGCTTTTCAAAGCCCCTGTCAGGTCTGTCATGATGCACACTGTCCACGCAATCAGCTGTTTTTTGCTTACACAGGACAAACTCATAGATAACTTTATGTGACCCTGTGACTGCTATGACTTTGGTACTTTAACTTTATTTGGACTAGGCTAGCAATATTACATGCACAATAATAAAATATTTCTGAACTATATTGTTGTATCATATACATTCAATATTTGTAGCTGAGAAATTAAGTCAATGTGTTAAAGTTTAAATTACAACAATGGTTATTAATCATTAAAAAATTCAGAACAGCAAGAAGAGCTTTAACAAATTTGGTCTCGAACTAAATTGTATTTGATAAACTAATCTGATTTCCTGCATGATACGAGACTGCAAGAACTGTCATACTGATCGGAGATCATCATAGTTTGGTTCTGATGTCACTTTTAATCATAAACATGTCTCAGTGGTTTTGGTGTTAACATTCAACAAATGGAATCTCAGTGGGAATTTCTTAGGAAGACATTTTAACAAAAATTTGGTTCAAACTTTGTGCTAAATATAGCAAGAAGACCTGAAAATAAGTGAAAGGTTGCAGTCAACAAGATGTGGACAATTACATAAATGGCATTAATTCATATTGATAATGAAGTACAATGTCACTTGCCATTTTAATTCAAAAACACACAAATAACTAAGTATGTATATATGTTATCTTGTTTTTGTACTCATTACTCACATTTATAATGATATCCCTTCATTGTGTGTCATTATGTATACAGCCTGTATCATCAACTACCTACATTTCACAATTAGTATACTATAATCATCTTTGATTCAAAAGTAAACCCAAAAGTTCCCAATACAGGCCTATGTGGGTATACAAATTGCAAGCATCTTGCACAAATCATAGGAAAAACAATTCTGGTGTGTTAGATACATTGTGATTTAATTAGTCAAATTTTACATTAAAATTGTCACTGATTTTGTACGCATTTGTAAGTTGCTGGCCAAAACCTAACTTGATGATATGCACTCTGATTTAAGTTACTTTTAAACTTTAGACTTGGTTAAATTTAGTCAAATGAGCATATACTGAGGTAATTAGAGAAAATATTTTATTGCCTTTATTACTTAAGTTCCAATTTAAACATAATTAAATGTTTTGATTTTATGCACAGTACTGTACGTTCACTGATGTTTGTTTTTTAATCACAGCATAGCGGTTCATAGCATGGCTCAGTTATTTTTTTTTTTTCAAGTACAGATCTTTAGCTCATAGCTCCATCTCTTGACCAATTTGAAATCTAACTACTACAGTTTTGGACTCAGGAGGTCAAACTCTTTTAACTGATGCATTTGACCATGCTAAAGGTCTCATGGATTAACTTACTCTAATCCTCCTAAATTTAAATTTAAGGGTAGGCTGGTAGAGATCCTGATGAGTAATAAAATCGAACTTACATACATGCCCCACAAAAAATATAGCAGCAAAAAAACAACAACAACAACAACTCTTACAGATTAATTTGCTCTCATCCTGCCTAAAGAATTTCTAATGCCATGGCTATTGGGGATTCCCTCATTTTTCAAAAATAAATTTGTAGGCCTGTACATTGTTTTTGGTAAATTTGTGTTATAGGTCACTGGGGTTAAACACAGATTCTACTGTACTTATTTTATTATTTCAAGCTTTGCTATTTTTATTAAATTATTTCATTATAAAGTATCTTATGCAAAATATATACCTTTACACATTTGTGCTTTTAAGGCTTTAAAAAGTTGCTTGAACAAAGAGAAGACTCTTCCTTGTCCTTCTGTTTCCATTATCCCTCTTTAACTTCAGATAAACATAGCTCTGCATACATATAGCTTCTTAATTAAAACATCTTACTTGTTTGCTGCAGATGGGCAGCCTCTCCTAACATTTAAAACTTTAGTTAAATGCAAAAACAAACTAAGGTAAACTGATTTTAAATTTTAATAATGCTAATGGAGTGAAAGAATTTATTAATGTTATTGCAGAAACCATTCAAGAGATAGTAGCAGTGATTTTATGTTAAGCAATAGCCTTTGCAGTGCTTAGTGTTGGAAGTCGGGCAGGAAACATTGTCTGAAAAAGAACAGATTTTCATTAAATCAGTCAAGCAAGATATAACAGTTTATTTCTGTGTTATCTTACATGATGTTGATAGCTTTGTTGAGGCAGATGCAAGTAATCTAAAGAGGAGCATTAATGATGTATTCAAAAGATGATTGAAAGGTTTCAATTTCAGCTATGGCTGATGGAGATTTAATACTGGAGTTTACAATGGATCACTAACAAAGCTGAAAAATGACAATTACCTTTGGCTTTTAGGCATTCACTGCATATTTTGTAGGCTTGAACTGGCATTGAAAGATAGTGTATCTAAATTATTTGCTGATGTGGCAACTATATATTACTTGATCCAAAAAGCACTTTGAGACAACTGCCAGTGCATTTGGTTTGTAGTATCTTAATTTTCCCAAAATGCATGGTACATGATGTACTGCCCACAAGATTTGGATTAAATTGTTTTTAAGTAATTAGATAATTTTTGTCCAAGCAAGAGAATTCCCTTGCTGATTGCAAGGAGAGAGTAGCATCAACTAAATTTCATAGTCCCTTAAAAAAACAAAAAACAGACTATGTTTCTGTCAAATTGTTGCTTGTACCAAGATGTGCTGGATGCATACATTCCATCAAAAAGTTTGAAAAATAAAACATGTTATACTATCAGATACTGCATATGGTAAAAAAAGCAAAGGATACCTTACAGGAATTCAAAAAATAAACCTCAGGTAAATACTGTGAAAATCTTTTGAAAAAGTACAATCTTGAGCTGGAAATGCAATAAGTTTCCCAGCATCTTAAGAGCACTTTGCTTAAAGCAGGGCACCAGAAAAAGAAAACAGGGAGTACATTACTGTCAGTGTCAACTACAGTAATGAACAGTGTAGACTTGGGAAATTGAGTGTTTAAGTTTACTTGCACAACATTTATACAAGATTCTAAAAATGAACAATTTTAATAAAACTAAGATAAGCTCAGAGCAGAAAGATTTCAAGAGAATGGTTAAGTACAACATGAACGGAGTCAAAATTAATTATCTTTGGTAGCAGGCTTCTAAACACAAGGAAGAAATTTAAGAATGTTTGTGTACTAGTGAAAATAGTGCTCTGCACAGAGCCCAGTAATAGTGTCTTGAGCAGGATTTAGTCACCTTACCCACATGCTCACTGACCAAAGGCTTAGTTTAAAACATGTGGCATTGGAGAACCTTTTATGATTGAAACAAATGATTTTGGATGGATGCATGAGGAAAAGGAAAAAATGGATCAAAAGGAAATTTGATTCAAGTTCTTCTAACATATCGCATGTCCATAGAATGTACAGCCAAGAATGGAAGTCAGACACATATAATGAAATAGATTCTGTTGGTGGTGAAGATTTAAGTGATTATGGAGATCATGATGAGGATGGTCCTGATTCTAGCATACCTAGTACATCAAGTGATGAGGCTGAAACAGATGAGATTCTTTCTCAAGAACTGACTGCACAAGAATCATTTGATGTTGACATTGTTGATGGAGATGATTCTCCTGTACACAACATGTGCATAAGGGTAATATCTGAATATGATTCCGTAGCTAAAAGTTAAAAATAAACACAACAAAGGATCTTAGTACATACAAATTACTATGCAAAGTAGATACGATATGATTCTAGTCAAGAAGTTGTGTGCCAGACTTTATGGAGATTATAATATTATAATTTTTCCAATTTTACTGGATAGAGAAAATTCTACTAATTGTTACTCTGTTTATTCATGAAATTAACGTGCCTTATATTTGCTTCTTACCCTTACTTTGACCTTGAAATATGACCGCAAGTTTAGTTAAAAGAAAAATGGTACAATTTTGAAAACAAACAATATGGATACAGTATCAGTCTGCTGACAGTTCCCGTGATCTGTTTGGTAGGGGCTGTTTACAACCCTTGTGCATTTTTCAAACATCAAGGCCTGCTGCGTGTGTGTGTGTGTGTATATATATATATATATATATATATATGCGTGTTTTAATCAGTGAGAATACACATGTGAAACAAATTAACTGAAAAGCTGGCTAAAATTATAGGTACAACACTTGAGAAAGATGCATCTTTTAAATTCATTGAGGATGACTAGAAGAAAATCATAATTAAGGTACAAGACAGTTCCTTTACTTCATCAAATCTATGGCTTTCTGGCTGTATATCATTCTACTGATTCCTCATCTTTTGCTTTTCTATGCTATATCATACTGTACTTAATTTTTCAACAATCTCATTCTCTCTATGTCGATGCTGACCTTCACTGGTTGCTACTTTCACCTTTCTAGTGCAGAGGAAGTCAATATCCTGCCAGTCAGCTTCCTCATCCAGCTTCATCCCTGCAAGGCCTGTTACATACATCCAGGTGATTGTCTTACCATGCAGTTGCTTTCCGTTCTGCCATTCATCTAGGGTCTATGTCTATGGCAGTTATTTTGGTATAAAGTTAACAGTTAAGAGAAAAACTATTAATCACCAATGGTGTTCGAAGATTAGCAATCCTCCACCACCCTACTCGACGTTAAAGATAAGAAGTTCGTAAAGTGGTCATCGTTCTAACGGGCCAAGTGTGCGGAAAGAAAAAATGTATATATAAACAAATCAAAATTGAATGCACACACCCACATGTATATATATTACACACACACATGCACTGGTGGTAATATTGAGGCAAGTGGGTAGAAGTAAAGGTGAAGGCATAGCAGAGGCAGGTTATTGCAGAAAAAACAAGTCAAGAACGATTGTTGACAAAGTATTGAAACAAACCGCAGCAAACGAGCCTTTACAGGGCCTGGCATGGACCAACGAACCCAAGTGCCATGGCTGGGATCTATCTAGGGACCAACCACTGTGAATTTTATGCAAACTGCCTGAGAGTCAGTCACAAATATTATGGTAATAGCATTGTCTATGTGAAGTTCACTGTTCTTAGCAATAGTGAATACAGAGAATAGCTTGCTCTATGACTGTAAACTCCTTGTGCTGCTTGTTCTAAGCTTAAATGTTCCACCAGTCTTATGAAAAATGTTGCTGCTTCACAAAATAATAAACACAACCAGCTATCTCACTCTCCGAGATGCAGGAAACAGTTTTGGCTATGATGACAAGTGAATGCCCACACAGACTTTTCCTACTTCAAAATGATTTCAGCATTGTTGTGTACAATGAAATAAAATAAGATTATTTACCCAATATATAGTTTGAAAATGGGGATGGGTAGATAGACAAAAAATAACCATAAGTTGAGTACTGGGTGACAGTCCCAGGGTTTGTGCCAACATGTTATGTCTAGGCTGATTTCCACAGGTCCCAGTGGCACCAGAAGTTTATTCCACATGGAGGAATCCAAGATTTGGTGGTGATGGATGATCTTAGTTGTGGGTGTGTAACACCTGTCTTCTGAGGCACCTTTTACGTAATCCTAAAATTGGTCGGTGTCTGCAAAGTCATTGTAAACTTTAATTTCCTAATTAAAAAGGGCAGTGGCTTGCTGATGGAAGGTGGTCTTAATACTGCAAGGCCCAAGTGAAGAATTTTGCTTGTAAGTGCTGTTAAGATTCTGTGATACTGCCAAGTCTTGTGATAACCCAGAATGGAGGAGTTATGACTTTAGTAAAACATAAGATGATATCTGTAAGCTGTACTTCCTGCTGCAATTTGTTAATGGAACTAATGAAATTGTCAGGTATTTCATTGTTTCTTTCAGAGGGATAGCAGTGGTTGTAAAGATTGGTGATGGTTTGTCCTCATCAACAAATTTATTGTTAGGCATGCAGAACATGACTGCTTAGGATGATTGAATATCATTTCTGTTCTTCTAAATAACAGGACGTTAATTTGAGGAAATTATAATGAATGGTGTTAAAAAATCTTTACCCTAATTTTGACATGTTTAGACATAAATAAGGTTGAAAAATTACACTTCACCAACATAATTGATTTCACATCATAACAGTTGTTGTCAAGCAGTTTGTAAACATTAATAGCATCTCAATCACTACGACATCTGTTGGATACCAGCCAGTCTGAAGAGTTCTGGTATTGGGCAAGACTTCACTGGCACAGAGTTTAACAGGTATATTGTGGTTAACTTATCATTATAATACATACATATTTACATTGACCCAAGTTGTTAATTAATAATTACTAATATCTTTTCTTGTTGATGCTGTGGTGACTCGATCTGGTACAGGATTAAGACTAGATCACTGATTGGTCATCGCTTCTGAATGATTTTAAGGTTAATTCAATAAAATTTTTAATTTTATGTGTTGTCACAGAAATACAAACTGATGAAAATATTTCTTCACCCACTTAATCAGTTCACACCATAACAGTTGCTGTAAGATAGTTTGTTAATATAAACAGCATTTCAAACTATTATTATTTCTTTTCTCAGATGGTCTGAAAAGCTCTAATATTGGACAAAATGCCTTGTCAGGATGTGATACTGCAGATACAAAGCAACTGACATATTTTACACTCTACTTTTCAGAAATTATTAATTTCTAGTTTGAATCTCTCTCCAGCATATCACTATAAACATAATGACAAATCTTGGTATTAGACAATTGCCCTTTGAAGGACATGGGAAAACTGCAACGGATGCTATTTTGAGCTACCACGAAAATGGAAAAGTTTCACAGACTTTTAAACGTTACTAAAATAATTATTTAAATATATGAATAAGAATAAAAAAATGTGGAAATTAATTAAAGATGTGGAAACATCAGTTTTAATTAATTTAACTGACATCTATACTCAACTACTTTCATGTTAATTTTAAAGATTATATAATTAGCAGTAATAACATAGAATACAAAACATTGATATTAGCAAACTGTTACAAAACTTCATAATTTGAATTTAATAGAACAGCGATAGTGTTAACTTCAGACACAGAGGAAAATCATAGACATTAGATACGAGTCAGTGTCTTACGGCAACTATTTTAGTGGACGGTCTACAAGTAAAACAATGCAAGGGTTTTGTCTTTCATTAGACTATAGGGTACCTACATTAATAATACTGGTTGACTTGTAACTATTAAACATTTTTGATCAATAATAAGACATTTAGATCAAATGTTAAACAAAAAAATTTAATTATAAATTAATGAACCAATCCTACATAACCAACTGACTAGAAATACTTTATACCATAAATAAATACACAATAATCTAAAGCCTTTAATGATTAGGATGCACTGAAGCATCAATTGGATACCATTGCTGCTAACACAACAGTAGTTTTGGCATTAATTTCTTTACCTCGTAAGATTTGTACAGCTTACGTTAGGTCAGGTTCTCAAACAGTGGAATATTCCCAGCAGATGGTGGAATGTAACCTTCTGGGATGTATGGTAGTATCAATAATAAAGTCTACCATTTAGTGAATAGGACAGCCTTGATGGACTAACATGTCTCATGTTGTTGGTATATTTTACATTATGTTCAATGTAAATTTTACATACACACAAACATGTATATATATATATATATATTATATATATAATACAAGTCCAAATACAAATAATTAACAAATACCAATCTAGCATCTATTCTATCACACAGTGATTCATAGCTTAATAACAGCAATAATACAAGAAAAGTGAATATATCATTTTATAATTCATATTAATATCACTTGGACTTGTATCTCTAACTGCTTTCATTTATTAATAACCTTGATACTACTACTGTTAATATTAATAATTACCAATCTGTAAAAGCTAACAATATATACGAATAAATTACACATTAATTAACAATAAGTAATACTAATTAGTATATAAATTAATTATAAGCCTTTGCCTAAATAAATTTAAGAATGTAAAGTGATTAATAATTTTATGAAACATCTAAAATTATGACATATATAAAATAATAATTATATTCCATATCGTTTGACGATATCAACTAATTATTAAAATAAATCACTGATCACTAACATTTATGTTTCATACTATAACTTATAAGATGTAGTTCGATATTTCAAAATGTCTGACTACGTTTGACAAAAGACATGCCTAGTACTGTGTTACTACTAGCACTAGTAGCCTAAATTAGGCTTAACCAAACGCTGTAGATTCGATTATCTTTTTCTTACATCTTAATTTTGTAATCATTGATTATTTCCTTTCAATTAAAGTACTATACCAGTGACTTACGTTTGATTTTTGAATATATATATATATATATAATTTTCTTTCAATGAAAAACTAACAAATTAATAAAGAATAAGTTTAAGGTGTAACAATAAATTTGACGTAGACTTCATCTTCGAAACAAAATTTATAGTAACTATGCTACATAGACACACTACCTTTGTTACGTTGAACATCAAATTATATGCAAGACGGGTGAATACTACCAGATGATCAGCTTCGTTTCCAATCTGCTCGAACAAGGCTGTTTTTCCTCTAAAACTCTGAGAAATTGCCCTTCTTGAAAGACACGCATGCGCATAGATTACAAGTCTTGTCAGATCCTGTTGTATTATTAAATAAAGTGTTTATGTTTTCATAGTATTCTATGATACAACAGGTGTTATAAAAATGAGAAAAACTATAAAAAGTATATTTTAATGATATTTATTTCTCTATAGGTTACACATAGGTAACCTATTCAAAACATCTTGTGAATAAAAGATTTATATATATATTTGTTTAAAAGGCTCGAAAGTGATTGAACATACTTATAACAATTTTTATGCCTATTTTAATATTTGTTTGTCCGAACTAATTTCATAAGATGATAGTTAGATAATGTCTTTTTAATGTTTCAAGTTTCCAAAGAAATTAATACGCACTATATGTAGTTATTTTAAACGCTCTATTTGATAAAAAATTATTAGGTTTGGCAGAACTAAAGTTATAAAACTAACAAAAATGGCACGATAAAAATTTGATGTATCTCACCTGATAATTCTAAGTAAACCAGGTGAAACGTTGTGAACAAAAACAAGGATTTTATTATGTAAAACCAATAAAAAACGTGTATGAATTTTAACAAAAAAGTTTTTTTTTAATATATCCACCAGTGGCACAGCGGTATGTCTTCAGACTTACAACGCAAGAAACCAGGTTGCGATACCCGTGGTGGGACAGATAGTCCATTGTGTAGCTTTTTGCTTAACTTCAAACAAACAAACAATCTTTTTAATATTTACTTAATGTTGCTTTTCGTATTTCAATAATGCTGTGGTGTGAACGCCTTTTTCCAGCTGACGAATCATAATTACACTTAATTATACTTGATAATGTATTTGATAAAACGTTATTAGTATTTCAGTATAGTACTATAATTAGGTAAGACATGGATTATCTCGTAAACTTTACTAAGCTTACTTTAAACCTATTGTTACGTCTCCGTTTGTTAATTAATTTTCCGTAAC